CATCACGAACTGACATCAGTAATAATGCTAAGGCTCTATCTAGCCAAATGGATGAGTGACTCTTGAGCCTAAATTCAACACTCGTTATTTTATACCTGATTGGTCATAAATTATAGTCTAGCCTGGAAAACTGGTATACAACCCCAGCATATACAACAATAACCCAATCTCCCAATTTTGGGGGAAAATTTGACCCTTTTTGGGTAAGCCACTATGGAAAATTTTTGAGAAATGACACCGAAACCTCGAAATTCCCTCAGATCTGAGGGAACTTAACAATAATTACACAACATTTTCCTTAAACCTTGGTGAAAGTCATTTGACTTTGGGAATCTTCCCAAATTTGGGAGATTGGGAATACCAACACGAAATTATGATTTTGTGCAAGCTCATCCTAATAATGACAATCAAATGCAGTGATCCTTGGAGCTATTACGTCTCCCTTGATCCACGTTAAAATTGTTGTAATTAAGAATAAAAATGTACACAGATTTACCAGCTCTACACTATACTGTCAACATAAGACTAAAAAGATAGTCCCCAACGGTGATTAATGCATATTTTAGCAGATACTAACACAACTATAATGAATAGAGATGAATCAAGAAAGAAATATCATTATAGATACCAAGGTTTCTCTACCATTTGAACCACCCACCACCATAAAAGCCCGTACCGAGCGCTCTGGTTAGTTACGCTAATTTTTGATTCGGAGAAACAAAATAGTTTCAAATGGTTCCGGGGTAAAAGAAAGAAGCTTATGATTAACGGCACCTGGTATCTATTATTAGCAAATCGCTGATGCTTTCAGATAGGAAACTGCGTATGTTTAAAAATAAAAATTGATAAATATTTTTAAAAACCAATGAGATTCTGTCCTTAGTCCTTAAGAATATGTTAAGTTTCCTTTTACAGGGCCTACAAGAAGTGTTTTGAACAAGATCAGTCGACAGGTAATTCTAGCATTTGCTTATAATCTGTTCTGTTATGTTTGCTTCCAGTTGATGATGTCACAAGTATTCAGTGTTTGACAACGCTTCTACCAGTAACACCTTCTAATGTATTTCGTTCCCATCCAGAGAAATCAAAAGACAGAGTCGAGGAGATCGGAAGAGTATATTTGGCGATGGCCAATATATCGGAATTCTCTGATCTAATCTGGCTAGCGATTGCGGTTGATGTTGAGCACGGCGTTACCACACGTGATCTGGTGCGGATGCCTGACCGAGCGCGTTCAGCTAGATGAGTCCACTAAAACATATGGTCAGCATCCAATGTCGAAAACTTACAGAGCTATTTATTTTGGGGATTTATTTACCGCTACACAGTTTTTGGTTTTCCCCTTGAGGTTTACGATGGCACTGGGCCTAAGTAAATATTTAAAGGGATATCCAGAAGTGTTTAAGATGCTGTAAGTCATTAAAAGGTCAAATTTCTGAAGTAAACTAAAATAGTATGCTTAAACCACGTGAAGACATATCACTCGATGCAAATTTAAAGCCTTCTAGGGAGAGCTGCAACAGCACTAGTTGAAGCAGAGCTAGATCTTTTATACGAAGCAGCGTGATTTTCAAATCTGATAACTATTCAAAAAAATGCTAAAAAAGCATCCTTGCTAGTGTCTGACAACGATGTCTGGTTTTGAGGATTCCTCTTGTTGGGGACTTTAGATCCCCAGAACTCACTTGGGAAAGGACCTAATTTTTTAATTTTATTTAGAAAATTTGAATTTCTTTATTTTCGAGCCATAGGCGCTTTTGTCTCCTTTATGTCGTATTTCCCACTAGAAAATATCTTAAATGCTATTGATTCGTTGCGTCTTTTAGTATGCTGTTTGGTAACTGTCCCCAACGACGGTTTTGTACTGTATATATACGTTTTCAATTGTGTCTATTGTTATTGCTCGTTTCTGGCTGTTCGCAGAATATTCCTCCCTATTCCAAGCTTGGACTTCTCCCTCTAGTTAGCGTGGCTGGGACGCATCAATAGCTAGCTTACTGGACTTTGGTCACTGAGTCTTGTTTCTTGTTCGCAGATTAAGTGAACTTGTGATAACTTCAACCCTAGCACCTCGCCGGCTGTACTTCTTATCTAACGTATAGGGCCATTGAAATGTCACTGAGTTCTAGCCAAATCATCCGGTAGTTGAGTCACTGAAGAGCAAAGAGCCCGTCGATCTTCGACAAGTGCAAGGATAACCAACGCGCATCAGTTAACCGTATGCCATCAAGTGGTCCATGAGGTGGTGGTCTCACTATCTTCTCTGTACTCGTTCTTACTAATATATTTCTGTAACAACGTTGATTGTGTTACACAGTCTTAAAAACAGCCATAGTACCTTGATACGGCAAAGAGGTTGTCAACTTTAGGTGATGAACGTGTAGATCACCAGTGATTGGAGGCCTACTCGAGTCAGACAGGTATAGTATGACGAACCAGCTAATGTCGAAGTCACACCTCGTGGTCAGCACCTAACTTGGACTACCAAATAGCCATATGAAGGCGCTAAAAATCCTTTGAAGACTATACAACACAGAGGACGTTATTACAGAAATATATTGGTTAAAGTAGAAACAAGCAAAAGTAAGACGACTGCCGCATGGGCCAGTCCATGGCATACCATAAACGCGTTGGTTGTCCCTGACCTTGACGAGGATCGATGATTTGTTCGATAATCATTGACCCAACTGCAGGATGATTTGGCCAGTACTCAGTTGAATTTCACTGGCCCTGCAACCGCGAAGTGTTGCTTCGAAGTTAGCTTTTGATTAGAATGTAGCGTGGTGTGAAGTTGAGATTAACTATGAACACCGCTACCAAGAAACACGTGCCAAGTAAATCAGAAGGTGAAGGTTGGACGTAACCAAATAAATCCATAAAATCCCCGAGAAGCCAAATATCAGAAGGCAGTTAATGGACCAAGTCGAGATATATTTGCTGGCGACCGAGGTAGTGCCAGGATACAAGCTTGGTCACAGAACGTAACCGAATTCGCGCGAAGTCACAATCAAAGTGTGTGAATAAGAATGGAAGCACAATATAGCTGTCATTAGCACAGTCAAACAAAAGCACATTAAAACAAACACTGGTACAGTTGGTTATAATAATAATTTTTTTTATTAAACCAGTCGTGTTCTCGTGATAAATGTGAGTCACTACAAAACTATTCCCGTCTAACTCGGGCAGGCCCCTAGTCATTCAACATAGATCATCTACGTTAGTGATGAGTCGTTTACTTGTCTTATTACTTCGGTCATATCAAAAATATCCCCAATCACTCTGCACAAATGGCGATAACTGCTATTAAATAATTCACAGTCAGTAAACTCCAAAGGCTTCACATAATCAGTGTATGATTTAAACAGTCTTCATCTCGTGACACATATACGTAATCAATTTTAAATATTTGACAGACTTCAGTGACCTAGTCACTTTTATACAACTAGTAACTCTATTTTCCCCACAAGAGATTAACTCATAACACATACACCTCTTATGTTCTCTTGTTTGCTTGTCTGCATGTTTGTGTAATTGATATTATATCCGGTTGTCTTGTTGTTGCACTGTTAGTATGCACAATGATTGATTTTCGAACAGACTCACTCGCGTTATCCACTTCTCATCTCTTTATCTGTCTGCCCAAATGAATGTAATAAAAGTAAACATCCAAAACAATTGTACTCGAAATTTTATATACCTGTGGTTGTTTACGGGATTTATAGACTGAAAGTAACGCCCAGGCATCTAACAAGGTCGATCGCATCTCCTACCAACGACACAGATCACTTTAGTCTTTGTGATGGACGCAACATTATGAATTTTGTCTCTGCATTCACTGTTCTGTTCTTCTTTCATTTTGAAGTGTACTACAATTCAAGCACTCCTAAAGTTTCACTTGCCCCATTTTACATGCAAAATAACCTTACATAATAATTTAATATACTAATCCATTAACACTAATAACTTGTTTCGAAGCTTGCTCAAATGTTTTCCTATAAGTTATCTGGATTGGCAAAATACTTCAATTTGATTACTAATTTAATAATATTACAAGTACAGGATAAGTAATCACGTATATACTTTTAGTGTCCTGATATCTGAATTCAGTTACATTGTAGGATGATTGTTATCGAAATATATATACCGTCAATCCTCGTATACTTTTATCAACTTCATTCGCGTTGGAGAATAACGGAATAAAATAAGTCAAATCAGAGAATGAATTTTAAATACGTATGTTTCATACAGTCATTGATCTAAGTGGGCAATCAGGGAAACAGAGCGAATGGAGTGAGACGAGACGAAGTTGCGCTCAGTGGAGAAGCAGAGTGATCCAACGTTTTTTGATCAAGCGTGACTAAATATTTACAGTCCGATTAAAATAAGTCACAGATACATAATGAAAAGGGTAGCTTGTTATAGCCTATCATCGATTGAACATTAGAAGAGGCTGGAAAAAGGCAGGAATGTAAAGAAACTCTGATTAAAATCAATATCAGATTCGAGGTTGAAGGCAATTGTATTGTCTGTAAGTATCTGAATTCAACAGGTTAACTATGATTATTTAAAGCTGATCAGCTGATACTCTAATAGTCTGTAGTGTGGCGTCGTGTCGAAATTGACTATGAACACCATTACAAAGGAACGCGTGCCAGGATATCCATTAAATTCCCTTGGAAGCCAAATATTAGAAGGCAGTTAATGGACCAAGTCGAGATATATTTGCTGGCGATCTCGTGGTATCGAAAGTATACCGAGATCGTGACAGGATACAAGCTTGGTTACTGAGCGTAACTGGATTCGCGCGAGGTCACAATTGAAGTGAGCATAATGGATGTTTTTAGCACAGTTAAACAAAAATCACATTAAAACAGTCACTGGCACAATTGGTTATAATAATAATTGTTTTTATTAAACCAGTCGTGTTCTCGTGATAAATGTAAGTCACTAAAAGTCACGTATAGCCCGGTATTCAAGTCAGGAAGAACTCGGTGAGCACAGTCAAAGATAATGTCTTTGGAATTTAAATAAGCTACGGAATAATGCACAAACGAATCGTTACTGTATAAAAACGTCACAGCAAGTAATTGACTTTACAATTACAAGATGGCTAATTAAGTATACAATTTCAAGATTTCTGTCAAATATTTGACTGTACACCTGCATTTAACAATATTCTAAGATAGTCTTTTTCAGTTTTTATGTAGGAAAATCTTTTTTTAACATTTTATTCACTCTCTTTTAGTACGGAATTACAATTATAAATTACTCCAATTAAAACTGTACTAGATCCCTGTTTGGGTTTGTATATTTTCTTAGACTTATTCTGACGTATAACCTAATTCCTTTAATAACGTGATATAGAAAACCTTCTACTCATCGTTTTAGAAATAGATGCTTATTTTATAAAAAACGTATTCAGCGAACCACATGTGTATAATATTTTACATGAAAAATGACTGAACTAAATCTACATCTTGATACACATCTTAATCAGGTCGTATAAATTGTACATAAATTACTGAATACATTAGTTATCGAACAATGTAAAGTGGTAAAATGAAATGAGGGGAAATACGAATCACTTTTAAAAATTTGGAATATAATGTAATTGACTAAATTATTTGAACCTCATCACGTACAAGCTTTTTGAGTCTTGGCATTATGTATGCCACTGAAGTTTAGAAATTCATAGATTTATATATCAGCTCCCGGTAACCCTTCGAATGTCTTCTAAACCAATCCTTAGTTCTTTGGACATCAAAGTGTTATAATTAACGTAAATGTTTTCATCAGTACTTTGAATAGTTGTAAATGGACTTTCATTTCGATCTAGAGAGTTAAAATTACCATCATTCTGTTTTGCTGTGTTTGTTGTATAAGGGACTTCGTAAAGATTTTCGATTTTACGTGTATCCATCTGTGAATTTGCGTTATCACCAAATGTACTCAATTTAACAAGGGAATGATTACTTTCTGGAATATCAAATATCTTTTCATGTTTCATGTAAACTCGTGTATTTTCATGACTGTCATTATCACTGATAGTACTATTATACGGGAAATTTGATAGATATGTAATTGCTGGATGTTGTGGAATATTTCGATGTCTAAAGTAAAAGAAATTACAGATTAGATAATATTTGTTGAAGAATATCAAATCAGTTAACTCATACATAGATGTGGCATCAAGTATACTGAAAAAAAATGTATTGCTGTATGTTCATTTGAACCACCTAACGTAGTAGTGGGATCTATACTTTGTTAGACTATCATACGAAAGATTATTATCCATATTTTTATTCTAAAATTAGTAGATGGTTAAACTGTTGTATTCTTTAAATCTTTCTATTTCTAAGTTTTTGTTTAGTACATAAGTAGTTCTCATATGTTTTATTACTTTAGATGTATTTTTAATAAATGTTTATCCAAAACGCTGACTTAGTAGCATTTGTGGTTTCCTAATTATACTTCTGTGTGGTCAGACATTTTAGAGATATTACTGTATAAGTTTTGAGTTATAATTGAATTGGAATATGACAGGGAACTGATGTGCTTTTACCTTAGTTTCTTAATTGGACACTACGTTAGAAGGATCTAGAGGAAAAATAAGCAGTGAGGTCTTGATTGATGTGTCAGACTGGCAAACAGAAGGTGGTCGGTGTTACTGGCAATACATGATGATAATGATTGGTTGTCTGCTTAGTCAGACATGTAGATAGTCTGACAGGTGTCAGGTGAGTTATATATTCCCTTACCCATATAATTATTATCAATTGTTCATTGTTGTTGGATTGTGTAGGGTTTTGGTGTGGAAATATATTTACGTTCTAGTCAGGCTGATCACATGTTTTTGATCTGAGTTGTGTTGAAGTCCTGTAGAATGGACGCTGAGAGGGAATATAGTGTAGATATTCGTCTAAGGTAAATTAACGTCCCATACGTGTAAACGTAGAAAACCAACCTTTATAACAGTGAACTAATGGACGAATGGACTAGATAAAGAAATAGAGAAATCATACAACTGCTCTCCTGTCATTACATTCTGATCACACGGGCCCCAATACAACTCAAGGAATCTGATTTTTTCTTGTATAACATTTTCATATCTCCAAACATTCCTGTTTAGTTTTTTATTTTTTTTTGATTAGCTCTTATCAACTCTGTGTTCAAGATCAAGTTATGACTTTATTTGAATCTTGCATTTTCCTGTTCAGATGGAATTGTGTATTTCCTAACATTGTATTGAAAATGTGTGTGAGTTTACAGATCACTACGTTTTAGTTTGTTAGTTCAAATACACTTATTCAGATGCTATGATTACGTGAAACAAAATTTCTTACCTAGACATATAACACAGCCAAACAAAGAATCCAATGACTAGAATAAGAAATATCACAAAAATAATAGAGAACGCTATTCCGAACATTCTACCAGCTGACCAATTCTAAAAGAAAGACAAATTAGTAAACATATTAGTGATGAAATAACTATTGGGAATATGGTAATAAGATGCGGTAAGCGCCAATGGACGTTGCTATATTTAATAATGGTATGGAGAGGGAATTTACACAAATGGATTGATATTGGAGTAAGCTTCATCGCTTTTAAATGTTTAAGATAGAAATAAAGAGTTATTAGTTGTTTAGTAATTTAACGAATTCAAGCTAAAACATTTTCACTTTCTTACATCGCTAGAACCGACAGTCACCTGCTCAGTTAATTGACTTAATATAATTTTGTGGTAATGGATAACTATTTTCTAAACTCTTTATAATTCAGCTTTCATAACCTGATGAATTCAGCAAAGTTAGTACGTGTCGCATCTTTGTTACCGTCTTCAGGTTCCTAACCTCACTGACTGGAGATTGGTATTCAACTTTTATATTGGCTATCTGATAGAAAACTTGAAAACACAAACTTCAAAAGCTAGGTAAAACACAACACTATAAACTATTTGGCAGTTGGGTACTAATTCATTGGTTGACATCAAACTATTAGGAATCCTTATTATACCATCAAAAATAAAACTCCATTCATAATGAGTTTGTGTCCATCAACTTGTGAACTTCCTTCTTAATTAAGCTTGTGAGTATAAGTCTGTTTACTGATTTTTTACGTTTATATTCAGATAATTCCCTTTGTGTTTGTTATTAGATGATTGGAGATATTCAGTAGGATGCATTAGATTTTAGATTGCGGCTTCTGATATTCGGTATTAGAAAGTATCTACAGTCTGATTTCATTTATGAAATCATTGTATTCTATGACCTTACAACGTTGACTCGCATTAAACTCTATGGTGTCTAAAATCGGACTGAAAGCCGCAAATCGTCAGTGAAACGGAGTTATCAGGCCACTAATCAGGTAATAAGTTTTCCCTGTGTGTTGGTCGACACTATTCTGGTTACTTAAACTAATTAGTTAAAACTTTTGACACAGTTTGTTATTACAAGTCAAGGCTTTATGAAGAGTCCTGTGAGTATTTCGACCGTTGCTTATGTACATAAATATAGTTAGATTGTCTTAATAATTAAGCTGGAGCTTCAGTTGACAAATATGTTTACTCTGCTTAAAACTACAAGAACAGTGGAGCTAAAAATGTTTAGAATAGCATAATCTAGAAATCAACGCTAGGAAGTATAAATACCTGTAGCTAAATAAATATATAAAAGTATGGTTTGAAAATTGCAATTTTCACTCACTTTATTTAATTCACAAAAATATCCATCCCATTCTGGTGGACAGGAACATCGTGGACTCGAATTACCAGGATGAATTATACAAACTCCACCGTTTAAACAAAAGCGATTTGTCAAGCGCATAGTTGAAAGCCTGTACTTTTCGTTTTCCGATATACAATCAATAACTGGTTGCGTACAAAATGGTCCACTCCAGTTGTCCGGGCAAATACATATAGTCTCATCGTCATCATCATTGGTTCCTTGATTAGTATGTATGAACCCTTCAGCATCATTATCCTCTATCAGTTCACGTAGTAGTGTACAACGACCACCATTCTTACAGGGCGACTTTTCGCAAGAATAGTAAACTGAATGACATTCGGGACCTGAGTAAACGCATTTCAATGTGAAAGCATAGGAATATATAAAACTTTAGTTTTATAATGCTTTATGAATGTAGTAGTATTATTTGAATAGAGCAAAATAATTACAACGAGATGAATTTTCCAGTGATAGATAGTTGACCAAAAAAATTATTAAGCTTAATATATTTTGTAATCGACACCGGTTTTGACTCTAAATGTTAGTGGATTGCAACTTTTTGTATCAAATTGAAAGACAGTAATCTGTATGTCCTAAAACAAGGTTTGACGAGACTTAGCAAGGGAGCAAATTAACATCATCTAAGATACTTATACTCTTTAAACTTAATTTGGTTCTTACAGCAAACCTTCCAGTCACATTGTTGTTCATCCATTCAAATCACCAATGAAGGTTTTTCAGTGAATATGTCTCGGCATTTGGATTGTTTCCAAGGATTCAAGTTTTCACTGAACCATCTCCATTGGTAGTAATGTTACACTGAATTTAAAATTATCATGAATCTCATCACTCACTGTTTCTTCAGTGCTATATGAAAAATGCCTCACATAGTAGAGAAAATTAAATCACGTTTTTAAAATTTTGGTTCCCGTTTCGTACACATATCTCGAAATCTCTATTTGAAAGTTAAAAATAGTTAGGATTTCTGGAGAATTTTAACAAATTAAAAAGATAATAATAAGTATTTGTAGTCTATGAATGGTTTTTCATTGCATAAGCATAGCTTCGATTCATGCAAATAATGGTTCGAATATAAATGACTAGTTAAGAACCTGTATATTATTCCAAGTCAGCAACATTTAATTCAGACATTCAAAGTTTTCAGAGTCATATATCATTCAATTATACATAAGGTCACATGGAAACGATTATTGATAGAGATAGAAAACAATGAAAGATTGAAAATGAAAGTATGTGGGAAATATGGATTAATTGTGAAAAATCTATTGAAGATGGTTTCCTAGAAACATTGTCGAAAAGCATGATAGTAGAGATGACACAGTAATATACAAGTTTATAATTTGACTCCCTAGTTATTGGTCTCTATATATAATGAAAAATTTACCTTCATAGTTTTTACAAATGCATTTTCGACGATGTTCCCTCGGCAAATTTTTACAGCGTGTATTTTTGGGGCAAGGATGTATTTGGCAGTAGTCAATAATGTCACAGTTGACACCATGTCTACCTGAAACAAATATATAACTGTGATTATTACTTAAATCTACTGATGAAAATAAAGATTACATTTAAGAAGAACATTTGGGGAGTTCGGCTTTTTTGTAACTTGTTTAGTAAGAATATAGTCAATTATTATGGTGAGATAAAATTGTATATCTGCCAGACAATTTACTTACAGAGAACTACCTTTTTGGATAAAAAGATAAGTTAGAATTCAACATATTGTTTCACATGAACTGTAAGATCCAAACTGATTACTTACATGATTTAATGTAAAATAATTAAGCTACAAAATAGAAGGCTTGTATTTTAGTAAGAGGGTGGTATTTATTTAAGGCTGTGATTTATGCACATCATGAAACATACATTAAATTCTACGTCAGTGAACTATTCATCAACTGACCGTTTAGTTTTTTAAAGTTAGAGTATTCATAAGTACAGTTACTAATTAACTTACCACTGACTAGTTGTTATATGAAGGATAAATTGGTAATAGCTTGCATTTCAGTTTATTAAGCTTTCAGTCTACCGTCATCGACATATCATTGAAGGTCTCCTTGAAAATCAATGGAACATTAATTCTATCTACTCCTGATTGGGTTAATTAGGAGAAAGAAGATGTAGTTCAACTTAGTGAGTAATAATATACACTAAGATAGAGCAAACGGTAATGCTAGGTAAATCTTCTTACAGTTTATCAGATAACTAGCTTCAAGGTATATATGGAAAATATTCTTAGTTGGCTACTTCAATTTTTTATTATTAAAGAATACTTTAGCCTAATATGCTCTATTATATATGAATTAAATGTTACCCAAATAAATTTCGAGAGTAATCAAGACTAAAATGTAATAGTGTATGATACGATCTTGATTGGTGTGATTAAGTGACTTAAATGTTAGGTAAAACATTCATATTTTTAATCCTTAACGATGCTTGAATGAATATCTTTGGATTAAATGTTCTAAAAAGTTTAAAAACGTGGTATACACTTTCTCCTGCACAATTCTAACAACCTTTTGACATAGAGCATGTTACCAGCTAGTCGGTTTCGTTTCAGTGAACTTCATATCTAACCAATTAAGTATAAACATATTTAGCTATAGAAGACTGAATGTCAGTATCGTTTCTATCCACTTCAAACTGAGGAAAAGGATGTAATAAGATTTTTAAATCTATGACTGTTCGATAGTAGTGTTCTGTTTGCACTTCTGTTTTCCCTTTCTTCGTTATTGTATTATACTACTTAATAATACTCAGTAACCAACTTCATATTCAATCATTTAGTGGCGCGCGACCCTCCATTGTCTGTATGCCGTATCTCTAAGTCTTTACATGAGCTTATTTACTAGTGTAATTATAATTTAATAAAGTTTGTAACAGCTAACTTCAACTTGCATGAATTCTTCGAAGCTTTATTTGTTTGTAGCATCTTACATTTTTGTTTTTACAATGCCTGTTTCAATTGGTTTCTGCCGATGTAGTTTTATAAATGGCTCATAACTGTCATATAGCCTCTCACATATTTTGTAAGTAACCTTTAAATGAGTATGTCATGAAGAATTTTTCCGTTGATTGCTTATTAAAATAACAAACTCCTTGGACATCATACGAATTAATGTTTGTATTAATATGGAGATAAATGATCATTTTCTAATTTTACCCATAACTCATTTATTTGATCAGAGCTTCGATAGAATTAATACGTAGTCACCATGAAAACAAGATCATATAAAGTTTTTAGTTAAAAATTTCAGTATATGAAATAATTTCAAGTTAAGAAGATACATTTTAAAGTCTTACCATGCAAACAAATTTTTCGTCCATTCTTGTCACAATCGTATGCCCATGGATGAGGTGAACAGAATATGTCACATTTATTCCCATAATAATTTGAATTACACGTTAGTCTGATTGATGAGCTAAGGCTTGAACAGATAGAAATTTATCATTTAAATTAGTATCATTTGGAGAAAATGTTAGACGAATTTGACATTTGGTTCTAAATACTGTAGAATATAACTCATACTTTTGCGTATCGATGAATAGTATGGTGAACCGCATCAAATAGTGAGGAAAGAACTGTTAGTATTAGTTACCTGACAATTTCATTACTTTATCGGATGCATAAAGCTGATAATTATGTGAAAATATTTGCGAAGGTAATACGTAATAAGAATATTATTACTATTAGCATAGAAGGTTTGTTATGATCGTTCATGTGAAGAAAGTTGGTTCATAATCAGTTACAAGATTATGCTAAATATACGAGGCTGATAACGGTTGGAAAATATTTTATGATAGGATAACTTTTATTTCTGGATTGTGCATGTACACTGGTAACGATTGTTTATTCCACAGGGAAACTAAACTCAAATGATATATTCCATGATATTCAGAAGCGAAAATTCTATTATAAGCAAGGGGTAAATGTTTCTCTGTTTTAAATATGTAGAATTACGTTAAAAAAAGCCAGCAAACGATTCTTGCTTTATAGTGATATTTCAGTAAATCTTATAAGAAGAACTTGGAAAATACACAACAAATCTGTTTAAGTTTTTCCTTTTACTGACCACGTTCAGGTGCAGATAATATAGGTTGCAAACCTGTTGTGGTTGGTACTATGTCAAGTCGATATTGTGTTGTTCTGGCTTCTAGACAGACCAGTTTTACACACTCTTCTCAAGCCACATTTTTACGTTGTCACTTATTCACTCATTAGTACTGACTTTTTATATGACTGTATGTATGTTAATTGCATACTCCATTCAATATGTATATGTAACTTATTTATGTTTGAATTTAAATATCGACTTACGTTTGATCAAAAGGAGTTTGCTCACTCTCCTTCTCCACTGCATGTCACTCCATTTCTCGGACTGTTTGTTCAAATCAATGAGTGTATGAAAAATACATATTCAAACTTCATTCTCGGATTTAACTTATTTTATTCCGTTATTTTCTAATGCGAATTAAGTCGATAAAAGTATACGACGATTGACAGTATATATATTTCGATAACAATAATCTTACGATTATATGAACATACAAAAGATGTTCTACTTCACAATATACTAAAAATGGGTAAATTTATATTACATAGTTGTTAAATAATTACAGTAGAGACAAGATGATCCACTTGATTTCATTAATCCGGTGTATCTAGAAATATAATGAAGTCATTAGAATGTTTCTTTTTTTATATTTGTTCATTTCACAGAGGTATTCTTTTTTTTGTAAGAGTATTAAAAATAGCAACCTCGAGATCCTTATTTCAAAGGAAAATCTAAAGGAACTAATTTTATTTGGCATATTCAACTTGGGATTTAGATTTAAGGCTTGTGTGCGCTGACAATTCGACAGTTTGCAATGAAATCTTCACTTTTCTCTTCTACCAAACTGTTTTAAAACATAACCGACCATCATACTAGATAGTTATGTAAAGATGAATGAGATTCATTTCATAACTTCTTATTTGAACATCTGTTTAGTTATGATCAACCTCCCTGCCAGAATCGTCATTCCAAATTATCCTCAAAATTAATTATGACTGGTATTAATTGAGTTGCAATCAAAAATTGATACACAGTATGGATTTCATTAACCTATCAATTCAAGCTTGACTTCTCTATTCGGAAGCTAAATATTTATTTACTTAATTTGCTATGGTACTAAACCTATTCTAGTTTTCTGTATAGTTATTAACACGTGCTCATTTCTCTTTTTACTTTCAACAGGGAAATGATCTTCCACACTTTTCTTCAATATGTTATTTTTACTTTAACTAGTAAGTCACTTATGTTGTATACTTTGTCAAAAACCTTTGATAAACTATGATCATTTTGTTGTTCTATTGTGTTGTAGAATATTGTAAGATAAACATAGATACATTGATGTAGCTTTGGTAAATAACGTAGTAAACAAACTTTCTTTACTGAACTCTTTTTATTTATCTTGAAATAACTTATTACAGAAGATATTAACCTACCTGAAAGAGTCACTTATATGACTGTAATTTAATGGAATAGTTTGAAATACGTTGGTTTTTTCTGGCTGATACAATCCTGTAGCGATGGTAATTATATCATGTTCACCCAAAGCATCTTCGTCGTAGACATAAAGATCTAATCTATATTTTTCCTATAAAATGAACAAAGATACATGATTTCTATCCTACTATAAAAACTATTCTGATATATTAGGAGTTAAATATTTATTACTACAGGAAATATTCAGATGATTACTGTCTATAAGACTGTGTCCAACCATATGCCCAATTTTTTATTGCTAGGACTAAACTATTGGTTAAGAAATAAAATCTGCCTCCCATCATACTAAGTAGTTAAGTGTTATACACCAAATTTGGTGATAAATATTATTGGGAGGGAAATTCAAAAATCCTAGATAACCTAGATGAACAATAAAATGAATTTCCATAACAGACTTTTGACAGAACTGATGGGTTAAGCTAATTGTACACTGCATTCATTGATGGAAAGTGTATTTCATTTAAAACTAGTGGAGGTCATCAGCAAGTATTCCTTGACGTAGTTTTCAGGTTAAATAACACTACAGTAAAGCATACTTGTAATAAAAGGCATCTAATGCTCTCTGTATATTTCGAACCCAGATCACCTAGATTAGCAGTATGAGTCGTTATCAGGGGTAGGCTGACATGTTTAGGAACATAATACTTATATTTATTGAGCATATACTGGTGACCAATACTGTGTTCTTTATTGTCTAGTGCTGGTCTAATTTCGTTATTCAAGTTATAATGTGGCTACTAGTCAAAGTGGTTTTGTTTACTGAAGTAACTAGAAATGTTTCCATGTAAAAATATAGAGCCGGATATCATGTATTTAGTCGGCGGTTATCGTAAGCTCATTTTATCATGAATCAATCTATAACCTATATAGAAACAACTAGTGACCAGAGATTCCCAGATAACTCTTTCTTGGGTTCTCTTTTCCGACTGTTGCCAGGAGCTTCTCATGGTCTCTATGACTGCTTCTGATTCGCGTCTTCGTGTGCTTTTTGGCCCACTTTTTTTCCGTTTGCTTTAGGGAATCCAAGTTAGAGCTTGCTTTTTGATTCAGTATGATGACTTTCTTGAAGTATGTACTTTTGAATCTTTTCCTAACCTTCTTCTTAATTGGAAGTTGGTTTATTTTCTAACACAGTAGGTTATTGCTAGTAGTGCCTAGCCAATGGATTTGGAATATCGTGCGTAGATAGTTGTCTATAAATCCCTGTACTTTTTGACGATGGTTATAGAAGTTGTCCAAGTTTCAACCCTGCACAACACAATTGTTTTGACTACTGTTGGAGAAGCAGGAAATACAATTGATATCTTGAATGCAACTAGATGATTTGGACTTCACAGATGACCTAGCTCTTCTGTCACATACACATCAACAAATGCAGGTCAAGACAGCCAGTGTAGCAGTAGTTTTTAACATATCCAAAGAAAAAATAAGATCCTGAATTGCAATATAGAGAGCAGTAACCGAATCACACTTGATGGATTAGTACTGTACGAGATGGAAATTTTATGTAATTGAGCAGCATTATCGAGACTATAAATCATGGATAACCAATCAGGTAAGAGGTAACAGGCATCGAATTTTGGCGCTAAATTCACTCATCCATTTGGCTAGATAAAGTTTTGGCATTATAGCTGATGTCATTTCGTGATGAAAAACCGAAATATAATATACAACCTTAACCATCAATTGTAAATTATAATTATAATTCCTCATACTGGCCCATAATCCTCATTTAGTCCTAGGTCGGTCCAGCGTCGCTCAAAGGTCGTCCATAAATTATTGTCTCACTAGAAATTAAGAAACGACGATGGAGGTAGATAGGACATACATTACGAAAGTCATCAAACTGAATCCCTTGTATTCAGTGCTCCTCCTCAAACGTAACAGTCTCCATGATCCAGTCAACAGCCAGAATAAAAAAGGTGGAAGTAGGCAGTCTTTACTGACACCGATAACCACACAGAGAACATCTATGAGCTGCCTTCCATGCATGACCTTACATTTCAGTACATTCGTGATAGTTTCGTACGATGATGACGATCTTTTCAGGTCCTCTGTAGTGTTGAGGAAGATTCCGCATGATTCTCCTATTCACTCCGCGAATTCTTTTCATGGTTAAAGAATCTAATGCTTAGTGATTAGTTTTGTTCAACTGATTACTTAACAATAATCTAAAGTCGTGCGACTTGGTCAGCACATAATCAATCTATATGAAAACCAGAATTTTGGTCTCGGAGTTTGGTGTCTACTGAATCGTTTATCCGGTTTAGCAACGCTCCGTCGAAAAATTTTCCTGGCACTGACAGTAGTGTGATGTCTCTGTAGTTCTCTCACTTTCTGAGATCTCCTTTCTTTGGTGTCCTTCTTTCCAGTTTATCAACACTTGAATAGAATGTGGAGCATGTTTGCAAGTACTCCTACATGTTACGTCATCGCTTCAGCTGGTGTGTTATCTGGTCCTTGTGCTTTTCCAATACCAGTTAACCTAGAATGGATTCAGGCATATAATATGTTCAAGAGAAAAAAGGCTGAAACAATATTGTGCAGAACAAATCATGAATAAGGACGACTAGTTTTGGTAAACAGTCATCAAGCTTTCTGATGTATGCTACTCATGTCGACCTAAGTAGTATATAACACCAATCATAAGTGGAATGCCTGTCAGAAGAAGGCTGGGAAGATCGAATCGAATAGAACAGCGACAGAGAGTAATTGTAATAGCAATGAAGGAACGATGAAGATTGGGAAAATTGATGAAGGATTTAAAAATGAAGTATCCAATGCATGGTTTTCACATTTTATCAAAGAATTCTGTAATTTCCTATCAAATCAAGTTGGTCATCCCCACCTGCATTCTTGTCCACCGTGCATTTAATATAGATAATAGAAATTTAGGTATTTATGACCATTAACATCTAGTTGAGACTTGTTACCTTGTGTCTTAATGTTTAAAATCCTTTCAAGATAATTAAATACTCAGCCTTAACAAAAAAGAAACTTTAGGAGAACTTACAGGTAATCTTTCATTTATTTTTTCAGATACTTTAATGTGAAATTTTGCAGTGTCCGCAATAGTCTCTGTTTTCACATGGATTAATTGCCTGTTAAAAAGAATTGTAATGCAAATTATTTGTGTCATCGTCATACCCTGGTAACTGAAGTATATTATAACAGAATGAATATTATGCTTGTAATAATGGTTTTTTGTGTAAGAGGTCAACTTAATTATATTTCGGATATTAGAAATTGGGATACATATTTCATCTTGTTGTTGACAGTTGAATGTAGCTATTTTTTACATTTTCTGCTAACTTTGAATTAATGTGTTTGTTCAATTTTCTTAAATCTTGAAATGTTATCATGTTAATATCAATGTGACAGTTCAAATAATTTTACCCTATCGGTTATGATTTATCAACTGACGAGACCATTTTCTTACCATAGAAAGTTATTGAAAGTAGTTATTAGCTTGGACAGTCATTAAACATACATTAAAGTCAAGTTTGATGGAAGTCAGTTACTGAACTTGTGATAGTTAAAACCTTCTTGGTCTAAATGGAGACATGAATTAAAAACATCATGTCAGATAATAACAATTATTTATTCTAAAATTAGCTGAATTTTCGATTTGTTACTTGAAATCTGTGACTTTGTAGTGAATCATCTTAGAGATGATCGCTAAGGCTTCAAATATCAGTCGTTCTAATAACCGTTACTAGTTAACTCCCATAGGTGTATACATTTCAGGAGACAATACGAAGCGTTGACTACAGTTTACTATTGCACAGTGCAGATCACTAAGCCACAAGCATCCGAGCAGAAATGCTGGTGCGAGCTAGTAAATACATAGTCGGATGGATTGACATGATGTAAGCACACTTATATAGGAAAACGAATGGTTTTTTAAGAGATTTAAGCAACTAATACTTAGGCCAGTAAGAGAAATATATATGTAGGCTGTAACATGTGATCAAGCATACATACATGAATATAATTATACAAAGATAAACAAATTGTTACTGTTTGAATGACACTGTCTGTTAAATAAGTCTTGACAAAGCCAAACGTAAACAGACTTAAGTGTAGGTGAGGTGGTATAAACTAACCTGTCAAACAATCTAGTTAATAGGATAGACTCAATTACGAGCAGTGAACATCCTAGTCAGAGATCGATGTTAACCAACAGTTTTGTCCAGAATGTGTATTTTATCCTACTTTAGACTCGTAAACTGAACGTTCGTGCATACCAAAATGGACATTCATCCTGGGACTCAAACCTGGAAACGTTCACATCAGACGTTGTCGCGTCAATATTTTAGCTACTGAATCCGGGTAAGTACTGGTTTGCGTAATCGGATGAAAATGAAACATTCTGTTGATAAGCTAAATTGTCGATTGTTAATACTAAATAAGTAAGTAATGTTTCTAAATATGAAGAATTATACAATGTTTACCAAATATGTTGGGTTTTAATATAGTAGGCCGGATTTAATATGTAATGAAACGAATGTACTCGATTTAAGTCCCTATAAAGTAGCTATCAGATCAATATTAATACTAGTTATTTTGAAACCATAAAATTTATTTAAGCATAATTATTCTGTTTATAAACGATTATTGATAACGCAATCTAATCCAGGAATGGAACATATAAAGTTAAATATTTGAAAACTCGTAAATCTTTTTTTCGAAAAATTTATTTCACAGACTGAAATCATGAGTCAATTCAAGCTAGACCTTCATGGAAAACCTGGAGATATCAGCTCACTGAAGACAATGGTGTACGATGGCGCAACTTCGTGGATCGGTTGAAGTTAGACATTAACACTATTGGATGCCGGATCAGTGGCCTAGTTGGTTAAGCGCCTGGCCCGGGGCTGGTAGGTCCTGGGTTCGAATCCCGCGGGGTCGTGGTTGCGCAGTTCTGGGGAGTCCCATGCTAGAACGGAACGGCCGTCCAGTTCTTCTAGGCTTTTCATGATGGTCTAGCTTCAATTGACTCCTGATTCCAATCTGTGAAGTTTTGTAAAATCACCACAAACTCCTTCTGACAAAGAATTTATTGCCGAAATGAGTTAAATATAAAATTAGGTCCTGGGTTCGAATCTCGCGAAGCTCACTACTAAGGAGTTCCACAGTAGGATGAAACGACCGTCCAGTGCTTCCAGGTTTTCCATGGTGGTTTAACTTCAATGGACTCATGATCACAACTATTGAAATTGTTTCCTTAAAAAAATAAATAACTTCAATTTCTGTAAATTAAATGGTTTTACTGCTTTAATTTCCACAAATTAATGTGCAAACTAATGAATTACCTTGAGTTATTGTCAGCTAACTCATACAATCCCACAATTATATAAACATCACATCGATGCAATTGCCAATCACAGTAAAATCCACTACTTGTAGTTGATTCTAGATTTGTGTAATAAATTTCTATTTCAAAACGTCCACCAGGTAGGTTTATCTACAAATAAATCAAAATATTTAACTGTCACTTATTTATAATACTTATATTACTACTAATAATAATGACTATAGTAATTGTATTCTCTGAGCAAATGTAATGAATAATGTTAATGTTACACGTTTGTTTGTTTAAATTTATAAACAGAAATCATTCTTGAAATTTTAATGTAATTATTACATTGGATACATAATAGGTGGTCAGAATTTCAATAAGGGAATATTTTAAAGATTTATTTGTACAAAAAACATAGATGAATAAATGACAAGAATGAGGTAAGGATTATTTAATTAATATACCTACGTTCGTAACCATTTTTCTGGTAAGTTGATATTTTCACGTAATTTAAACGTAGATTGTAATACAAAGTTAAAATTATCAGAAAAGGTTTTGTGGAAACATTTTTAGAAATTTCACTGGTTGAAGTCATGAGTTAATTGAAGCTAGATCACCATGGAAAACCTGGAAGCACTGGAAGGCCGTTTCGTCCTAGTATGGGACTCCTCAGCAGCGCGCATCCACGACGGTGGCGCAAATTCGTGGGTTGGTTAAAGTTAGACATTAACACTGTTGAATGCCGGATTGGTGGTCTAGTTGGTTAGGCGCCTGGCGCGAGACTGATAGGTCCTGGGTTCGAATCTCGCGGGGTGCGGGATGAAACGCGCGTCCTGGATTTCACTGCTAGCCATTATCTATATTTGCACATGTAGATGAAAATCTAATTTCAGTATATAGAAAGTTCTTGTTTGCAAATTTAGTGAAAAGAACGAATAGAGCAAAGAAACTTTGTTTCATCGCGGTTCTACAGTGATATATATATATATATATATATATATATATTCACTAGTCGAACTAAATTAGACCTCCACTTAAAACTTGGAAGCACTAGACAGGATTAGACTCCTCAGAAGTGTGCATCCACGATCCCACACGCGGGAGTTCTAGTGACGAGCCGTGACTAGTGAAGTCCAGTTCTTATCAAATGTGAGACAGTTATCTACTTCAGACAATATGTGAAAGATTGTGCATGATCATGGATCGATTAAAGTTAGATATTAACTGTCGGATACCGGTCCAGTGGTTTAGAGGTTAGGCGTTTGTGCGTGAGACCAAGGGCCTTGGTTTGGAGTCCAGCATGCAGGGTCATCGACAGGCCCTGCTGAGGAATATCACACTAGGACGAAACGGTCGTCCCATGTTTCCAGGTACTCAGTGATATTCTAGTTTAGATCCACTCCTGAATTCAACTTTGAACATTAAAATAATCTCAATCAGTGATCATTGATTTCTTAAGATATATAAGTTAACATTCACATGAAGGAATAATTCTAATAACTTCTTTACAGTCATTAGACATTTTATATGTTCATGTATGTATTATTAATGATTTTTCTTTGCAAACTGTAATGCTGTTTCTTGACATTTCATATTTTATTCGCTTAGTCTTTCTTTTCAAGTGATCAATGACTAAAGTTTATTATCTTATTGAGTTATTTCAACGATAATTAACTGACAAAACACTATGTCGTCTATTTTAGCTTACAAATCTCTTTATTCTGTCTTACATTAAAAAGGTATATATTAAACAAAAATAATCAATCATTGAATGACAATTTAGATAATACTTGATTCTTTATTTCATTATTAGAATGAGGTTTTGCTTTTGGAGATGGTAGATAGTTTAATAGTTGAATCCATGAATCGATGCAAGATAGACCACCATTGAAAATCTGGAACCATTATACAGCCATTTCGTTTTAATATTTTACTTGAAATCACCATAACCAAGTTAACCTGAAAAATACTATACACTTACATTATACATAAAAAATAAACTGTTATTAATGGAACATGTTTTAAATACCTACAGATTATTAACGCTATATCATGATCAACTTTAGAACAACTTTTACCTTACTATATATAAAATTTTAGGGGATAATTTTGAGACTACCAATCCTCTATGTAATAGGATGTTTAAGTGATTGGAAGACTTTCTCGTCCTATACATAATTACAGTTCCTATTACTTTTCTATTAATATCCCGTTGAATAACGAAATATTAGTCAAAAACAACATGCAATTTCTTAGCAATAGGTTTGAATGCAATTTCACTTTGGTTTATCAGTTGAGCGACAATACTAGACTCCACACATTGAAATATATTCCAAAGTTTAGTACATGAATCTGTACATAGTTAGACCTATTTGATGATCTCTCGATGGAACAAATAAATATTAGTATACCTTGATATCCTGTCTTACAGATTTCGAATATGAATTATACATATATAAAAGCATATTAATTATTTTTGTTATTAAATAAATAACACTTACCTCTGTGTTTGAATGAATATAAATAGAAAGAAACAAATTGATAACAATGAAATAGTAAAAGTAGTAGTAGTAGTAGTAGTTGTTGTTGTTGTTGTAACAAAATCGATTGAAGAGAATAGTCCAAAGCATTTTTGTAAATCTTATGGTGTATAACTTGAAATACAATGTATTACACTGCAAAACTGTTTAATTTATAGTCATATTAAGCTTATTCAAAACTATATCGTTTTGTTTATTTGTATAAAGATCTAAAATGTATGAATGAAATTTACTATGGAATAGTTTAGTGTAAAAACAATTTTTTATTTTTCGTTTTGTTTATCTATGAAGTTTTGATTAGGTAAAATGAAATATATTTATCCGAATAATACAAAATGAATAGTAAGTTGGTCAATCAGATTACTATACATATAGGAATCAATAATCTGAATATAATCAATGTTATATCACCTGGATTGAATTTTGTTTATTATTAAATGTAATATGGAAACTGAATTTAGTAAATGGAATATAGTTGAACATTTCATTGATTTTTTGACAATCGAAGAATGAAATGATGAATATGATTTGTTACTAAGACATATTTATAGACTTTTTGTCATATTCATTTGAGTATAATTAAAATACCAGATAAAAATTAAAAAAGAGTCATAGCAACATATCTAACTGATAAAGTGGATATTATAAATGTCATTTAATAAAGAGCTCTTATAATTCTTTCAAGGTTGCCTACTTTCACCCTTTCTCTTTCTCCTGGTGATCGACTGGATCATAAAGACGTCAACATCTGAAGGGCACCATGGGATACAGTGGACATCTAGAATAAAGTTAGACGATGTAAACTTTGAGAATGATCTTGCCCTTCTATCGCAAACGCAACAACAAATACAGGAGAAAACGAACAGTGTGGCAGCAGCCTCAGCAGCAATAGGTCTCAATGTACACAAAGGGAAAAGCAAGATTCTCTGGTAAAACACAGCATGCACCAATCCAATCACAATTGACGGAGATGATTTGGAAGATGTAAAAACCTTTACATATTTGGGCAGCATCATTGATGAACATGTTGGATCTGATGCAGATGTGAAGGCGAGGATCGCCAAAGCAAGAGCAGTACATCTACAACTGAAGAACATCTGGAAATCAAAGCAACTGTCAACCAACACCAAGGTCAAGATCTTCCATACAAATGTCAAGACAGTTCTATTGTATGGGGTGGAAACTTAGAGAACTACGAAAGCCATCATCCAAAAGATACAAGTGTTTATTAACAATTGTCTACGTAAAATACTTCGGATCCGTTGGCCGTACACTATTAGCAATAACCTACTGTGGGAGAGAACAAACCAGATCCCAGTGGAGGAAGAAATCAGGAAGAAGCGCTGGAAGTGGATAGGACACACAATGAGGAAATCACCCAACTGTGTCACAAGACAAACCCTCACATGGAATCTCTAAGGCCAAAGGAAAAGAGGAAGACCAAAGAACACATTACGTCGAGAAACGGAGACAGACATGAGAAAAACGAACAAAAATTTGACAGAACTGGAAAGAAAGTCCCCGGACAGAGTGGGATGGAGAATGCTGGTCAGCGGCCTATGCTCCATTAGGAATAACAGGCGTAAGTAAGTAAGTAAGTCTTATAATTCTTTGAGTTTTTAAGTGAACTTTCTTAATTTGAACGCACAAATGGGCCAACAATTCCTTTCAGAATCCTTTGAATTAACTAATTAAAAGTTTGTTATATTTATGACATAACAGTTATTTGATGTTTATAAGCATCATGGAGACATGTATGTAAAGTTGAGTTTTAGGGAGTTTACGGTTAATGATCAGAAATTGTCACTGAATATTGTTGAAGTAGTATGCTTGATCATTGAATTTATGATTAAGTTTTTCCACTCGTTAGTCTAAGAAAAAGTATTTTTAAGTTTACGATCCCATCAGTTTTCTGTCAGACTAACTAATATACAATCGAAATATATATTGAGATCTTAGGCCATTAGAATATTTTAACCGAATCATACCACAAGTTAGAAAAGTTAAAACGTTTGAAGAACTAAAAATCCTTCAAACTGTTTATTGATTGATAATAGAAAGCAGGCCGATCCAGTAGATTCTAATTAACTATTAGAGGTGAATAAAAAGACAATTATTAGTCAAAATATGTGTTTTCTTGCGAAAGAGATAAACAGTCTATAATAGAAGTATGGAACAGATGTAAAACGTCCAAACGAATGATATTACGTAAGACTTTTCATGAGTGCAATAATCAAAGTGTATCCTTTTTAAAGAAGTGGTAGATCAAAACGACTAGTAGAAAATATTATCAAGGAAACGTTTCCAACAATCTAATCACATATTTACTTATCAAAATCATTTGGTATGAAAAGTAAAAAGTTTTCTCAAAACAATGGTTAAATAAATAAAACATGAAAATAAAACTTAGAAGGAATCGAAAGTTGTTGCATTATCCTTGGGATAGAAAATCGACTACTGAGTACTATTGCCGTGTCAACAATTAGTTTTTGAACACAACACTGAAACTTAAACATCATATTACATAGGAGCTTGGTAGGCTCAAAATTATCCCCCCTAACATTTTATATATAGTAACGTAAAAGCTGTCCTAAAGTTGATCATAATATAGCGTTCGTTAATAATCTGGAGCTATTTAGAACATGTTCTATTAATAACAGCTTATTTTCGATGTGTAATATGAAGCTATAGTATTTTTCAAGTTTACTTGGTTATGATGATTTCAAGTAACTCCACTAATATTAAATCTATAAACTCTAACACTGACACTGGCATGTTTGATATATCAAGCATTGAAGTCAAGGTGTATGGGGTTACATCAAGTTGTTCTAATACAAAAACCACCAAAGCGGCAAATAAAATCTACGCGATCTAGTACATTATTCAAAGAATTATCTAATTTTCATCTATATTTGATCATTTCAAACCTTTAAAATGTGAAGCACTTAGACTACTTATTTAATAAAAAGTAGTAATAACATTGAAGAAGAAGAATGTGGTTAAAAAATATGTTCATACTATTTTGGTTGGCTTACAGCAATCACTAAACTAGAACACTGATAGGTATTTTAGTTAAGAATTATCTTCTAGTTAAAACAAATGACACTACATTTTAAATAAGAGAGTTTAGGTTTGTACAACACCATAACCATATTCTCCTTTCATTAACTGTTTCTAACAGACCAGGAAATTTACCAGGAAATTTCCTAACAGTTTACAATGAAATTGCGAAAAATTTACAAGAGAAAAACGTATCCAGTCTTGTATAAATGTAATGCTTTTCATTCTAGATTCTCCTCTGTTCTTGGGTGAATAGACCATGTAAATGGTTATATTCCCGTTAGCTGGTTACAACCTGTGATATTTAAAATTACAATTACATAATGGGTTTAAATTACTTAAACGAAAAAAGTTTGGTTGGAGGTTATATTGAAGATATATTCATAACGAATTCATGCTATTCTGCTACAATATTTGTTCTTGTTCTTTTCAAAATAATAAAGGGAACTATGTGTACAGATGGTAATAATCAGTTCGTTTATCACTAAATAGCGCATTAACAATAAACAATTTAATTAGTTTATCGAAGTTTTCGGGATGAAACCAACGGAGCAATGACGGTGTGATTTATTAGATCCAAATAAAATGATAGTTTCGTTTTAAAGAATTGAATTTTTTTAATTTTTATGATGATTACAAATTTATTGAATAATTTTAAGCTTGTTATGTACTGAATATGATTGATTGATTAAGGCTTATCAATTATGTAATCTAGCTATTCGGTCACGATTTACAAGTCAATCTGAAGAAACTTCAACTTTAGTATTAGGCTAGGAAGATGATGTACTAAGAAAGTTAAATATTATGACCGAAACTCTGCATTTTCTAACAATGAAAAAGTGATCTAATGTTCTGAACATGATATTCTTATAAGCTTCATGAAACCATTAAAATAATCAAATCATTTATAATGTATGGAAATTACGTAGTTCTTTACATCAAGTAGGTCTAACTGTGTACAAATTCATGTACTAAAATTCGGAATATATTTGAGTGTGTAGAGTCTAGTATCGTCGCTCAACTGATAAACCGAAGTGAAGTTGCATTCAAATCTATGCCTAGGAAATTGCATGTCGTTTTCGACTGATATTTCGTTATTCAACAGAATATTATTACATGCAGTTGGTTCCCTTTATGAATTTAAATAAAGCAAGAACAAATATTGATGCAGAATAGTATGAATTCATATTATTTCGAGGTTTCTCGTCAGCTGCTTACAAACCAAAAAAATGTGATAGAATTTTTACATTGAGATAGAGTGAAAACAAATGACATAGATGAGTGTAAATAACTGGGTTACAATAATAACTATATATATATATGCTAGAACAGGTCAGAGGTCAAAAGGAATTAATTCGGGTTGGGTGGTGTAATAATGCAATTGAATAATCATAAGATAGGTTACGTAATAATAATTAAATAGAATATGAAAAGTTAAGATAATTTAGGAGGATCAGGTGGTGGAAATGCGTAAATAATAATGTGGTTTAAGAATTATGTAATAGAGGAGGAATATAAATATTTTAAAGTAAATAAAAATATAATAATAATAATAATAATAATAATAATAATAATAAAGGGTTACCAGGGTAGTGATAAGCTAATTAACGTCTCTTTTTGAATGCATAAGTCAGGTTTAAGTTTTTTGATCATAATAGCTTCAGCATGTTCTAATAATGTTAGGAACTGTAATTGTGTATAGGACGAGAAAGTCTTCCAATCACTTTCCTATTTATTACATAAATGTCTATGAAAAATTAACCATCAGCAAACCTAATATTTGGCTTTATTTCAATAGTTGTCAAGCTTATAATCATTCATGGTGAGCATCATTTTCAAAAAGAATTTCTTGCAGAGCTATTGCTAAAACTAGTATTTTCGAAGTACGAGGGGATATTCAAAAAAGTTTGCTGAAGCCTTATAGCATAATGAAAATGAAACAATTCTTAGTACTTCTGCTCTATCGTCAAAACACATGAAATACTCCTAACTTCTCATCAATTCAACCTCCTCATATAGAAATTTCATGCAATTGGTTCCCTTTATGAATTTAAATAGAGCAAGAACAAACATTGATGCAGAATAATATGAATTCATATTATTTCGAGGTTTCTCGTCAGCTGCCTACAAACCAAAATTGTGATAGAATTTTTACATGGAGATAGTGTGAAACAATTGACATAAATGAGTGTAAATAACTTGATTACAATAATAACTATATATATATATATATATATATATATATATATATATATGCTAGAAACAGGTCAGAGGTCAAAAGAGGGGGGTTAATCCAGGGTGGGTGGTGTAATAATTTAGTGAAGTTCATAAGGTGTGTGATAATTGTTGAGATTAATGGAATTAAATAATGATAAGGTAGATTACGTAATAAGAATTAAATAGGGTTTGGAAAGGTAAGATGATTTAAGGGGATCAGGTGACGGAAATGTGTGAATAAAATTTATTTTAAGAATTAGGTAATAGGGGGGGAGTATAAATTATCTTAGAATAAGTAAATGAATAAAATAACCAAAACACAAAACAAACAGAAACAAAAAGATTACCAGGGTAGTGATAAGTTTATTAAAGTCTCTTTTTGGATGCATAAGTCCGGTTTCAGTTTCTTAATTGCAATGGCTTGAGCAAAGCGGAGAGTGGTAGTAGTTCTTTGTCTATTGATAATTTTAAACGCGCGCATAATATCGACGGTATGCCCGGTGTCAAGTAGATGCCGAGCTATTGCACTGTTAAAAGCTTTAATCCCTCGCAGCGTCAAGTTCTTCGGAATATGCTCATATGCTCATATAGTTTCGTAAGTCTCAGAGAAATCGTATTCATAGAATACTGCAGAGTTGAGTTAGCATGAGAATATATATCAGCTAATTTTTGTTTTCTACACCCTCATATTATTGACGAAATTTATTTGTTAAATCATGTTACTTACGAGTAGTTAAAAATTATCTTAAAAATATGTTCATAATCTCTGTGTTAATTTTGCAAACTAACGAACAATCGATACTACTTTTTTATTGTACATTTAGTCAGTAATAAAATATAAACATGAAATTACCATCAGTCATGTCAAAGGGTAAGTAGAATATATTCCTAGTAATGGAGGTGCATGTAATGATTAGACCAATTAAGATAATACGTGATATGTGCTACTGAAGTCGACAGATATAAGTAGTTTGTAACATCAATCAAAAGTGGAATGCTTGGAGATAGAAGGTTAAGAAGATCGAAAAGAAAAGAACAAGAACAGAGGCTGATTGATGTGGAAATGAAGGGACAATGAAGTTTAAGACAATCGATATACATTTTGCAAATGAAGTATTTACTGTATAGTTCTCAGATTTTACTATAAGATTCTGTCTTTTTCCATTCAAAATATATATTTGATTCTCTTCGCTGGTATTCTCATTCACTACAAACGTATTTTGAAAATTAATCAACTGACACCAGATTTTTGTATTTAGATTATGACATAGATAATCGTTATCAATCAAAGATTGTTTCGATTGATAATAACAGATATCAATTAATAAATTAATGGATTGGTTGACCTTAGACATTAACACCATTGGATGCCAGCACAGTGGTCTAGTGGTTAAGTGCCTAGCGCGAGACTGATAGGCCCTTGGTTCGAGTCTCGTGGGGTAGGAGGTCGTGGATGTGCACTGCTGAGGAGTTCCATACTGGGACAGAACGGCCTTCCAGTACTTCCAGGTTTTCCATGGTGGTCTAGCTTCAATTGACTCATGATTTCAATGAGCAACAAATTTGGTAGTGAATTTTTCTTACTTTATATACGAAAAGAAATGTCACCAATCTAGATTTATCAAATTTAATGTTCTATTAATATTTAATCAGTTTAATTCAACTCTAACTGAACAATTAGTTGTTCATTGGTTACTATTTTATCATTAACTTAGTTATTATATAAACTTTAAGTTATTTGTTTTAATCTAAAAATGATTTGAGGGTATGTCAATTTTCTCTATACAAGATCAGTCAGCTAAGAGAATTATATTTCGTTTTCTTTTCTGTTCAATTTTCATTATTGTTAGCAGTTACTACTCATTAGTTTAGTTTGTTATTATATGGTATATTTTTATTTATGTACACACCTTACTATGTTAGATATTTATAAGATCAGTAAGCATGAAACGCAATTAGTTGAATGAAACTTATTGGGAAAGGTGATATAAGTCACAAAATATTCAGGTAACAATTCATTATCTACTATGAATAAGTAATAAAGTTTGATTTTATATTCATTAAATCTTGACAAACTCATTAACTTCTTAATGGTTCTTATTAAATAGGTTTTTGGTTTAAATCTATACAACAGATAATATAAATGACATTCAAACTCAGATTCGATTGTTTATTATTGGATTGTATGATCATTGATAATGGAGATAATTTCGATGAGTAAGGATATGAAGAAGATAGAAAGTTGGACTTATCATTAGAGCTACTTATTTGATTGGTGTTTTATTTATACTCGTTACTCAGAATTACTTTCATACAATTTCGTAATTTTATAATGTTAGAGGTTGTTTTGTTCTTCTGTGAACTACTCTATAAATAAAGATTGATTGTGGCTAGCAATGGAATACAGAATGTGTGTTTCGTCCAGCTGACGAGTCCAAAATAAGAAGAAACGAGCGTCTAAACTGAATTCCACTGCTAGCCACGATCCATTTTTGCTTAGAATGTTTGTGAAGTAAGGCAATATCAAGACGATATGCACAGTATGCACATATGCCAATAAGAGACTGATCAATTATAGTCCTAAACATCAATGTATAGATTCAAGTAAACAATACCGAATGTAATTATTCTATAAATCATTTGTAATGTTGAGTTTATTATTCATAAGTGAAAAAAATATTCAAAAGCTAAGAGCATAAGGACTAATTTAGCTGATGAGATATTATAATCTTTGTTCGAAAAATTATCATTATTTAATTTAGATAGAGCAATTCTATTGCTAAGATAATTCTTAGTTTTCTATGAAAAAATATATGTTTATTCATAATGTGTTTCATTACTAAAAAGTTATTTTCAAGTTTTATACTTCAGTCAATTACACTTTGTGAAACCTTTTTTTCTTTAGTATAATCCAAAAAAAAGTATGGAACATAATAATTTCAGATAACTAGGTCAGTCCTTCCTGAATGAATTGTTTGTAATGAAGAGGCTATTTGGTGGAGTTTTCTTCTCTGAGCTGTATGGTTTGGTCGTGTTCTATGACGTGTTGGTATTTGCGGATCCTGTAGTGTGCATCCATTATCATTGGGTGTACCATTTTTCTTTCACTCTGCTCAGCTATTTTCCATCCTAATGCGCAGTTGATTGGAGGTCTATATTTTACACTCGTTTGTAGAACATGCTGGCGAAGACACTCATGGAGATAATATAGTTGTTCTCGAGTGGAAGCGTGCCTTTTGTTGAAATTCTCCCATTTTTGAACAACGAGAAGCTTATTACGTTCATATGATTTTGAGATGGTGGAGAGGATTTTTAGCTCTGGTGGATGATTTTGGTAGAGCTCAGAGAACAAAACTCTATCAAAATCATCCACCTGAGCTACAAATCTTCTCCATCATCTCAATGAAAAGGCTACATATTTAGTCTTGGTTGTTTGTATATTTAAAAAATATCTGTAACGTACCAATTTTTGAATCTAAGTAACTGATGCCTTCAAGTTTCTTGGGATTCATTTCTTTATTAACGGAGTAGGTTTTCCAAATTTCTTTTAATCTGAAACTGATGAAAATGAGTATCTATTGTGTATCATCAGAATTTATTATTTTGTAGTTCATACTATTAACTGAATATGATGTTATATTAAAGATAGTTAAAACTGTTTCCAAGCTTATTTCTCTCAGTTCCTAATTTTCAATAAACATTGATGCAACAACCTTTAAATTAAAATCAATTAACTAAGACTGAGTTGATTTAAAAGTGAGTAAAGGTTCACGTGAAATATATATGTGCACAGTGATCAATGAAAATCAAGTGATCGTATAATCCAATTAACACATTTCAATATAGATCATCTTAATCTTGATGAATATTATTACGTAGGTGTTACTTTGAACGTATTATGAAGAGGATTATTATTTTGTAAAATCAAATGTGAGTAAAAGTGCTCATTAGCACAGATATGATCAAATTTGTCACAAAATCATTTTCATTAACACTGATATGAATTAAATATGCTGATAACGGTAAATCTATAGTAAAAAATTCATAGCTATGTTTCTGTTAAATAATTATCTCATATTTACGTTATTGTTGAAGAATGTTTTAGACCTGTTATTAAACAGACGAGTAGAATGATAACACCATATACAAGATTATTTGATAATAAAGTAAGAATTTATCTTGTTCCACATCCGTAAGTAAAATAAAAAATCTAATATTTGTGTAGATATTCAGTTAAAAGAAAAAACATTTCCTATTTTTACTATGTATGGATTGATAACTAAGTTAGACATTAACACTGTTGGATGCCTGCTCAGTGGTCTAATGGTTAAGTGCTTGCGCGCGATACCAGTAGGTCCCGGGTTTGAATCTCGCAGGGTGCAGGATCGTGGATGCGCACTGCTGAGGAGTCCCATACTAGGACGAAACGACCGTCCAGTGCTTTCAGGTTTTCCATGGTGGTCTAGCTTCAATTGACTCATGATTTCAATCTGTGAAATTTCTAAAAATCTCCACAAAACGCATTCTGATAATAATCAACTGCTCACTAGTGACTGACTTCAGGAGATACTCTTAGAGTTCTAATGAGAAGTCTTTACCTGTGGAGTTCAACCAGGTCTGTTTTGTGATATCAGCTCACTGAAGACAATGGTGTATGGTGGTACAACTTCGTGGATTGGTTGAAGTTAGACATTAACACCGTTTGGTGCCGGCTCAGTGGAATAAATAAGGTAAATGAAATGTATATTAAAAATATGTTAACTATATTGACTAGTTGTATCAATGTCAAGAGATTACTTTGTATTATTAGCTATTAATTTGAAATAAAGCAAATAAAAGTGAAATTGATTAACACTATTGAAAACTAATCTCTTACAAATAATTAATAACTGACATTATTCATTAGTTCAATGAATAATGCTTATCAAATGGGTATTAATATCGTGCATCTTAAATGGAAACTTTATAAAATATAATTATATTATACTAATGAACAATGTTCCTTCTTAATAGATATTAACTCTATTCTATAATGAATGAAATTACATGTTGAATTCTGAATGAATTGTCAATGTATGTGAGTCACTTTATAAGAGGATGATACAGTTTATGGATTAATTTAGTTCTTTGATGAAAATACGTTCTATCATCTTAAACATTGTAAACAGAATTTATCTTGTTTCAAATCCGTAAGTAAAATAAAAAAATCTAATATTTGTGTAGATATTCAGTTAAAACAAAAAACATTTCCTACGTTTACCATGTATGGATTGATAACTAAATCTATTGATATGAACTGTTGAATTACGAATGAGGGTCAAAGAAAAAGAGGAAGACCAAAGAACACATTACGCCGGGAAATGGAGATAGACATGAGAAAAATGAATAAGAATTGGATGGAACTAGAAAAGAAGGCCCAGTATAGAGTGGGTTGGAGAATGCTGGTCAGCGGCCTATGCTCCATTGGGAGTAACAGGCGTAAGTAAGTAAGTAAGTAAGTAAGTTGAATTATGAAAGATGGATAAAAATAATCTGTACTGATATCCTTTTTGAATAACTTACTTACTTACTTACGCCTGTTACTCCTAATGGAATAAAGGCCGCCGACCAGCATTCTCCGACCAACTCTGTCCTGGGACTTCCTTCCCAGTTCTGTCCAATTTTTGTTCATTCTCCTCATGTCTATCTCCATTTCTCGACGTAATGTGTTCTTTGGTCTTCTTCTTTTCCTTTGGCCTTAGAGATTCCATATGAGGGTTTGCTTTGTGACACAGTTGGGTGACTTCCTCAGTATGTGTCCTTTCCACTTCCAGCGCTTCTTCCTGATTTCTTCCTCCACTGGGATCTGGTTTGTTCTTTCCAACAGTTGGTTGTTGCTAATAGTGTCTCACCAATGGATCTGAAGTATTTTGCGTAGACAACTGTTAATAAACACTTGTATCTTTTGGATGATGGCTATCGTAGTTCTCTAAGTTTCCGTCCCATACAGTAGAACTGTCTTGACATTTGTATTGAAAATCCTGACCTTGGTGTTTGTTGACAAGTGTTTTGAGTTCCAGATGTTCTTCAGTTGTAGATGTACTGCTCTTGCTTTGCAGATCCGCGCCTTCAAATTTTTGAATAACTAGATATTTATTTTTTTATTATATTCGAACTCAAGATTAGGGGTTAAGCGTTCACTCGTGAAACTGACAGCTCCTAGGTTTGAACCTCAGGAGGCGGGATCGTGGACATACACTTCTGAAGAGTCTCATACTAGCCATCCATTGCTTCCAGGCTTCCTATAGTGGTCTAGCTTCAATTAACTTATGAATTCTACTAATAATTTATCATTTTAGTTTATAAAATTCATAAATTGGAAATTCGATTCCATTTCAATTTAGGACACAGTGATTTAGAAGTCAGTAATTAATGTTTGATTTACAGTTAGTTTACAAAATAATAAACAGTTGATAATGCGAATAATAGTATCATTACATTATTATAAATTAATTACAACTTGATAGTGTGTGTACGAATCGATGATAACCCAGTGATTGTTTGATAAATTCATTATTATTTTTAATGATCTATCATACAATTTATAACTGTCAAATGTATTTATTAATTAATAAGAACTATTATTGAATTAACTTACTTGTTAAGGCCACCTAATTTGTTCATATAATGTGTGTTTTTTGTTGTTCAAACTAGGTACAGTTAAAAAATGAAGTAATGGCTTCCATTCAAATAACCTTAATAATTGCCATTGGGTATCATTTTTTTCTCTTTTTGAACATTGTTCATTGAACCTTGTCACAACCTTTCAAATTTCACATTATATTTCGATCATTTAAATGAATATATAATAGAATTTCAGCATCAAGTTTATTCACATTTCCTAATGTGCATTTTCTTTTTTCATTTTTTAAAAAGATTTAACGTTTTAAGCAAAGATGGTTAGTGGCTAGCGGTAAAATCCAGGATGCGTGTTTCGTCCTATTTAAGACTCATCAGCTGGATGTTCCTGTATCTATATGAACTTCCTGAATTGTTGATTACTCAATACAAAACTGAACAGAGTTCACTTGTAGTTATTACATTTCGATTTAAAATCACATGTTATAGATATTGATATTATTTCGGAGATGTAACAGCTTCCTATGGTTACCCAGACTGCAAAAATCCACTAGGATTATGAATATAATATACCATCCTAATTGGTCTATAGGATCAATGTCATGGCTTTGTGATTACATATTTTTCATCAGGAAAATGAAAGCGTTATGAATACTCTCGGATCCTGTATATCTTTGATATTTCACATTATTATTAAATATTAAGTTCAAAGTATTCTAGAACTCATGTCTTCTTGAAAAGTGTACATTTATTTCGATAATATTGTGTATTAACCAGTATCCACATGACTCAGTGCTGTAAACTAATATTCATTCTGTACTTATTTTTAGAATATATTATTATTGTCAATACGGCAGATCAGTTTAATTATATTCCCACCAACACATATGTGTGAGTATTGGCAGCTGTTTTACTAGAAAAATGATTTGTACAGGACACTGCCTCCTGTTAATTATATCAAAATCATTGCATCAGCACAATGCAGTGTAATAAAGTATATGTCTTTACTAGGAGCTATCATATGAGCAGAAATTAAAGTACTGTAGTTGAGAAACTTTGTTTTACAAATTTTTTGAAGGAATATTATAAACAATTACTGATTAATGGCAACAGATATGTTTGAGTTAATTTTAGTGGTAGCCCTTCATTCTAATGGTAGAGACTTTTAGGCAAAAAGAAAATGAATCTCTTTCGATTTGAACGCCAGTAAGTATAGTGACAACGACGAAGAGACGAAGTGACGCGGTTGAATAGTCCCATACTACACAACTTTTTGTATTGAACAAATAATATATTTATTTGTGACATTCTTACTAACTTCATCACTGTATGGATTTATATATCCATTTATTAAGATATAAATGTAATCAGAGAGGGGTTTAGTGGATATTATAGTGGTTTAATAGTTGAATCCATCGGTCATTTGAAGCTAGACCACCCTGGGAAACCTAGAAGCACTGGGAAGCTGTTTCGTCTCAGTATGGGACTCTTAGCTTTAATTGACTCACGAATTTGACTATTAAAATATAAATATAAACTCTTTCAGTCTGCCTATAAACCAATTGTTTGAACTCACAACCAATCAATAAAGATATGTGTGACCTTCAACCCAAGGTCACCAAGCACTCATTTAGAAAATAATCACATTTCATTTGTTTGGTACTCAGTCTAATCACATGTATAAATTATACTAAAATAAATGAATTTTGTTTATCATAATTGTGTTTGTTATTATTTCAACGGGTATGATAGTTTATTGTTACTATTCTGATTAAATGTTTATTGTACTGGCGATTTCATTGTAACACAAAGTTAGTAGCGACTGGAAGTTTGCACATATTTCAAATCAATTAATTGTTAACACCAGTAATCAATCAAATTGGATACAATCTACACACACACAATATATATATATATATATACGTACACATACGAAATAGTACATTAGCATACGTTACTAGACCAACGAACTTTTATTCAGCTAGCACCATTATTGTTTTTAGAGTTTATGATCAAAATTGTTATATAAATACACAGTTTTTATTTTCAAAACATTGAAATCATTCATTAGCATATTGATATCTCTATATATATGAGACATTCTATATAACAATTAAAGTTTTAACTTATCCAGTTCATTTATTCAATTGTTTAGACAAATTGATGAAGTGCATTTAAACAGACTCATTATTTGAATATAAAACTGTTCATTTAATGAAGAAAATAAAAATAAACAAACAAACAAACAGAATACACTTTTATCTACGCTTAGATACACATAGATTTTATCTTTGTATTATGCAATGATGAAATTAATTGACAATCATTGACAATGAATCCAAGCTATTTTTTAATTATATTACTTTATAAATTCTTTTATATTGGAATTTTATCTAGTCAAATTCATTCAGACAATCAGGTAAGTTTTATGTTTATAAACATGATGATAAAATGTTAAATAATGAAAATATACTTTGATTTTTATTGATTCATAATTGACATCTCACATCAGAAATGTTTAACGAAAGTTGAGAATTATCAGATAAATGTACCTACTTACTTACTTAATTACTTACGCTTGTTACTCCTCGTGAAGGAGCATAGGTCGCTCACCAGCATTCTCCATCCAACCTTGTCGTGGGCAATACTTTCCAGCTCTTTCCAGTTGTTATTCATCCTTTTCATATCTGCTTCTATTTCCCGATATAATGTGTTCTTTGGCCTACCACTTTTCCGCTTCCCTTCAGGAGTCCAAGTACTTGGATCTTATGAATTATTGTTCCTAGTGTAAATAACATATCTAGTTGACTCGATTCAAATAAGACAATTATGTAAATCATGGATACTAATACTAATCATTATCAAAGATGGATAACCAGAATGTTTACTAGAGTATCTGTTTGAATAACAACTATATTAAGTTTGATTAACTAAATTTTAGAACTAGAAAACGAAAAGAGTGTTAAGACTATAAGTTGGGACAATTTGTAATGTGGCTTGACTTCAATATAATTCCTTAAGCATTGTTTATCAATCATCCTGATAACCGTTATAAAATAAATCCTAACGGTTTAGAAATTCAGAAGGCAACAGGAAGTGTTGACTACAGTTTATTTCTCGATAGCACAGATAACAAATTTACAAGAATATCAAGCGAATTCGAGCAGAAAAGCTAATGTACGCAAGCAAGCGAATACAAAAACGAATTCAGAGTTTAATCAAATTGAATTAAATCGAAATTATTAATATTATTCAAGCACATATATATGAGAAAGCGAATGATTCATCGATAGATATTTGAGCAACTAACATTTAAGCTAGAGAGAGATACGTAAATAGTCTGTTACATATGATCAAGTATACATGTTCATATAGTCATGATAGCAATAATAATAGTAGAAAGAAACTGATAATTTGTAACTGTTTGAATAACATTGTCTGCTAAATAACTTAATTAAAGAGCTTGACAAAATTAACCGTAAACAAACTTAGTTGTAAAGATGGTTACTATAAAAAAGTTCCATATTTATATTCAATTCATTAAATGTCTTCTTTATGAAGTGAAATGGAGAGATAAATAAAAGTTGTTGAATTATTGTGTCCACTAACTTATGATCAAATCATTAAACTTGATGACTCTTTGTTTGCACTAAAACCGTTTTATTTAGAAGACCAGTGACTTCACCATATAAGTAAGAATATAGTAACGAATTAAATTGAATTCTTTATCTAATGAACTTAACAAGTTTTGTTAATTTTAAATCATGTAGTACTTTAAAAATTATGGAATAATCAACATTCAAATTACCATAAAAGTCTAAATTTTAAGGTTACCGCTATGAATGAGTGGCGAAACTATAATTTATGGACGATATTAGATATTAGATAATGGATAATGAATTTCAGTGTGAAATTCTTCATCCATCTGGCTAAATAATGTTTTGGCATTATAGCTAATGTCAGTTCGTGATGAAAACTCTGAATCTAATTTTTAACCCTAACTATCAATTGTAAATCATCATTCTAACTGGTTTATAACCTTCATGTAGTTCTAATCAGTAGGTGAACATTGTCAAAGTCACTTCAGTGTCGCTTAAATATCGTCCATAAATTATAGTCTCATTGAATTAATTTCCATAGTAGTGATCAATGAATAAAGCTAACTAAAACCATAATGTAAACATAGCAGATGTTGGTAAAATGTGTTTTTTTTTAAAAAATGAATAATATTTTATTCATATCAGAAGGGATTATGTAGATATTATAATAAGTTCAATGGTTGAGATCATGAGCGCACTGTTGAAGAGTCCCACAACAGAACGAAACGGCCGTCCACTGCTTCCAAGTTCTTCATAGTGGTCTAGTTTCAATTGACTTATGATCTCAACCATTGAAATTTAATATTTTCTTCTTGAATATATTCGGCGTATTCAAAATTTCATATATTTTATATCCTTGAAAAAACTTGGACCAGATAGCCAGGCAGAACGTTGGATTTACTTCAAATTCTATCGCTGAGATTTTATAAACACATTCTTCCTCTTTAATGTCTTACATTAACTTGGAGATCAAATACTGTGAAATTATTCAATTAAATTTAGACGAAAGTTCTTATTAAATGATAATGGATTAAAACTATTTTGAACATTTTAAATGTTTTTATTATGTTCCATTAATTTATCATTAATGTTTGTTATATTCAAACAAAGTTACTTTTGTATGAGAATAAACTCATTAAAACTTTTTCATTTCCATAATAAATTATCTATCTATAAAATAATCTAATAAAAGAAAGTTTTCGGTGAGACGATAATTTATGAATGAGCCAATCATATTTAAGATAGACGACCTTAGATTTTGGCGCGAAATTCATTCATTCCTAACCTTAATAGTCAATTGTAAATTTTAATTTTAATCCTTAAGAACGTATAATATAACCCACATTTAACTTTGATAAGTAGGTGAACATTCTATGATCATTCTAGCATTATTCAAAGGTCATTCATAGATCTTAATCTTAATGAAATTTCAATTCACAAATCATAGTATATATATGAATGACCATGGTTTATCTTTATTCACAATCACTTTATAAATGTTCTTTAAGAAGTCAGAATATCTTTACCTCAAAAGTTTTATTTCATCAATTTATTTGATTCATTATCTAGATATACACTAGAAATAGTTCAACTTGTTGTCCATTGTTTTATTTGACATAACATTTATATACATCTTTGTATAAGCAACAAATTATTTTCAGAAGATTATTTTCAAGAGATACTCCTGGAGTTCTAGTGAGAAGTCGTTACCTGTGGAGTTCAACCAGGTCTGTTGTGTAATATCAGCTCACTGAAGACAATGGTATACGGTAGCGCAACTTCGTGGATTGGTTGAAGTTAGACATTAACATAGTTGGATGCTAGCCGGCTCAGTGGTGTAGTTTGTTAAGCGCCTGGCTCGAGACTGATAGATCTTGGGTTCGAATCTCGCTGGGCGCGGAACCGTGGATGCGCACTGTTGAGGAGTCCCGTACCAGGACGAAACGGCCGTCCAGTGCTTCTAGGTTTTCCATTGTGGTCTAGCTTCAATTGACTCATGATTTCAGTCTTTGAAACAAGTTATTTGCATATTCCTTGATTGTTTCCTTTCGTTTATTACGTAACGTGATGAATTTGTTTTATCAATGAAACAAATTAATTCTTTCTGAAAATGCAAAGATTTATGAAACCTTATTAGGTTTGAAAAGAAATTTTGTTAAAATAAAAATACGACTTTTATGTTCATTTTTTTGTGTGCTTAATTATAATACATTAGCATGCAAGTAAACGTTTTATTTTTCAATAACATGTCAATGCATAAAATAATTTATAAATTTATATTGACTAAATGTTTTGCGATAAAGCACCAAATATGTATATGCTACACTTTGTTATTCGATTTATGTTAGGGTCTGAAATATTGCATAGGTGCCAAAACCGTAGTAAGTGGTTTTCTTAGTGGACCACAACCCGAGGTTCAACCCACAAGGCAGTGGATCAGTGTTAGGAGATTCAATCCCATGGTTGCCTATGACCAACAATAAATTCATACGTTATTCGTTCCCTTAGGATCATGGAGTCCATAAGAACCACTGATTTGGAACCAGGGTTTTCCAATCCCCTAGGTGTACTCTCTATCTCCACCAACCCTGCTACGCGAAGGAAGTGAGTAGCACTTCCCTGACAGAGGGTGTATAAATGTGGCCATGTGAGAGCATTTCTAGAGGGAGAGGTGACTCTCTCCACCTTCGATCGTACCAAGGCATTTGGGAGCATTAGACCATGGAGATTTATTTTCGGTGTAAATCATAATCACTGGACACAAAATGATGCTACTTAAGCATTTAGTTTTCATGTAGTACATGAGGATAATTTTGTGGAGCAGGCAGTTATCGGGGTTTTGTTAGATAACGTGAAATTGTTAGTGGATACATAGTTACTTCAGTTAGAGTTACGCAATAAAATGAAGCATGTAACATATAATTAGAAGATATATGATAAATATTTGACAAATCGATAAATATAAAAGCAGGAAGATCTTATTTAAGCATTTTGAACGCCAAAAAACCCAGGAAACGGTAAACTAAAATATGTAAATACTCAATAATCTGACATCTAGTATGTATGTTTAATTGCTTTTCTTAAGTGGTTGTATTTTTAGGAAATTTTCCTGATGTATTGAAAAATACACTAGTACCATTGAGAGACGGAAAAACTCTAAAACATCACTTTTATCCCACCTTGAACAGTTAGAACATATTATATTGTGTAATTATACTTGCAATTATGAGTTGTTCTCCAAATATTTGATTGATTTCCATGTAACATCTATCTAAGCCACTTTTGTATGGATAATTTATAAAATGAAAGCCCACTTTTGTGATGTATAATGCTCTTATGAAATCCAAAAACATCCCTAATCATGATTTATAATTAGATCAAGATCTACTGAAAATCAAATGACACTGAACTGGTGTTTCACTACTCATAGGAATTCTTTAGTAGTTCATCTGTTTTCTAATTTATTTATAAATAGCAATGCCAATCTATTTCTCGACCTTAAGGTGGCATTCGACTCTGTTGATCGTAAGGTTCTATGGCAGTGTTTGTCACTGAAAGGAGTACCAAGGAAGTACATTAACCTTATAAAGGCTCCCTACTCGAACACAACTGGTCGAGTGAGAGCTTATGGCGAACTGTCATCAGAATTGATTACCTCAAGTGGTGTTCGTCAGGGCTGTTCACTCACTCTATTCTTGTTTAACTCTGTCGTTGACGTACTTTTAGAGATAACACTTTCCTCGTCTAGATTTCCAGGGGTTGAACTTCTACCAGGAGGTTCACTTGTTGACTTGGAATATGCAGATGACATAGTTTTATT